TGCTACTTTGTGTAAATTCACTTGGGGGTATATTTATGATTTATACACGTTTCTGTATAGATGGTATAATTCAGTAAAGTATACTGAAAATGTAGAGTTCTGCTTCTGGGAATAATAGAGTAAGTTATATTGGACTAATTCTGCCAGTAATAATTACAAACTCTGGATAAATATTTTAATAAAAAACTGTTTAAAGATACCAGAGAACAAACAAATGCAGGCAGAAATCAGTGATATGACCCTTGAAATAGTTAAAGCACATATTGAAACAGCTTTTCTCCTACGGGCCTTCCCAATTTGGTTCACTGCACAGGAGCTATAGTTCAAGAAAAAAGCTTCAGTATTGAAGCTTTGTATACAACAGCCCCCTAAATCTTTGCCTAAATTGTAAACTGCAGAGGGTAAAAGAAGAAGCCACAGATGAAAAGCTAAAAGCAATGCAAGGAGATTTTAGAAACTTCCTGATGCATAGGACATAGAGCCTAGAGTTTAAGTCCCGTTATATTGTGGGATTTTGGTCAATATCTTGGGCTTTGCCTAGAAAGTTCACACTTAGGGGGCACCCGGGTGGCTCAGTCAGTTGAGCATCCGACTTCGGCTCAGGTCATGATCTCACAGTCCGTGAGTTCGAGCCCCGCATCGGGCTCTGTGCTGACAGCTCAGAGCCTGGAGCCTGCTTCAGATTCTGTGTCTCCGTCTCTCTCTGCCCCATCCCCACTCATGCTCTGTCTCTCTCTGTCTTAAAAATAAATAAAACATTAAAAAAAAAAAAAAGAAAGTTCACACTTAGGAATGAGAACCACAAACCTGCCTAAGGGCTATACCGTATAACTATGAAAGACCAAAACAGAACTGCCCTAACATATCTTCTATAGGTCTTGGGTGATCCTTCAATAATTTCATGGTGTGCCAAAATAAAACCCAACATTCCTCTAAATCCAGAGTCTCTAAAATGTATGAAACACAATGTCCAGTACACAACAAAAATTAGTATATATAAAATATACACAGAATGTGATCCATAATCAAAGAAAAAAACAGAAATATAAATAGACCCACAGAAGACTAAGATATTAGAGCTAGCAGACTTTAAAATAAAAATTATAAATATGTGAGAAAATCCACAGGATTACACACACACACATTACACATACATAAATATGTTATAGATATTACACATACATATATGTACATTACACACACAAATGTGCACATACATATATATGTAATTCTATGAATTATTTCCTATATTTACATATGTGTCTACATGCAATCCTATAAATTCATTAATATATTTACACAAATGCATATCATATATGTACATTATATAGTATTATACACACAGGGATATAATAAAAGAAGGGGAATTTCAGGAAGGATACAGAAAATTTTAAAAAATCAAAATCATAAAATGAAAAATACAACATCTTTGCTAGGACAATTCATAATATGGCTTTCTCAGGAAATTGTACACTATAGAAGAAAATACCAGTCAACTTGAAGGTAGGTGAATAAAAATAATCAAAACTGAGTAAGAGTGGAGGGGAAATTTTTTTTTTTAATAAACAGAGGCTAATTAACCTGTAGAACAAAGTCAAGATGTCTTTATACATGCAACTGCAGCCCAAGAAGGAGAGAAGAGAATGGGGTGGAAAATTAGAAGAAATATTGACCAAAAATGTCCCCCAAATAGTTGAAATCTTGAGAAACTTTAATTATGAAATCACATCTCTTTTATCTTACACCTCTCAATGCCATCATTTTGGTTTTGTCCCAATGATTTTTTTGCATTCACTTTTCTTTAAACACTTGTGGTTATGAGGCTGTATAAGAATATAGTAGATATGATGTTTTCCATTTTAAAAAGTGAAATGGTAATAATGTTATATTTTACCAAATAAAGAATTAGCATTTGAGATGTCAAAGAGATGAACCTGATGAAAATGAGACAAAGAAAAGAAAAAAGGATCAAAAAAAGAAAACTCTTTTGGACTTTATAGTTCAAATTGTGATGAGAATGGTTAATAAGATACCAAGTCACAAACAAATTTGTAATGATTTCTGTCATGTTAAAAAGGAACATATTTCCCTAAAGACAGCAGGCAACTTTAACTGAATGACAGTAAAGAATATATAAAAATTAAAACTTAAACATAAAAATATACCTTCAAAACAATATCTTTAGGTGTCAGAACAGTAATGGATAGTTTCTCACCAGTGAATGAATCAGAACAAAATTGTGTGAATATGAGAGACATTTTACCATCTAAAAAAGCAATCTCACTTCTCTATTGATAAATTTTAGTTATTTGAATACATGGTTCCAATCTTACTTACATATTTTTAAAAAGGCTTAATCAGTCACTCTTTGAAATATGCACTGTCCCATCATTTGGTAATGTCTAAATAACATCTGGGATGGGAGCGGGTAAAAGTAGCCTGAAGTTAAAATGTGTTGTAGAAAATATTGCCACCATAGTAAAATTTTAACTTCTCATAATCCAATTGCTTTCAGACATGAACAATGAGCATGTGGCCCTTTCTATAGATGTTTTGATATATAGAAACTTTTTATTTTGCCACCTGCAGAAATACCGGTATAAGGAGTCCTCTATTTCAAATACTTTCACTAATTCCTTTACTAGGGAAACCATTCAAAGTTTATAATCAAAGTTGCCTCAACTCCTATCTCAAAAAGATTTTTAAAAAGTGTTTCAGTTAGCTACAAGATATAGAAAACAATTATTTTTAGAATGGCTTTTTAAAATATTTCCTCATATGTTTAAAATTATAAATTCCTAATGTCCATGGAAATGAAGTACTTTTTTGAATCATTAGAATCTACAAATTTAAAATAGGAAATCATGAGCAGAGAAAACAGAATTCCAACAACACCAGTAAATATCCGTGTATATTCAATAGCTCAGAGCCTCAGAGTTCACAGCCTCGGATTTTGCATTACCAACATATCCTATTTTGTGGAGGTAGAGAATGAGGGATTATTATACATTTGTGATGTTTACTGTTCATGTATATGTTCCATCGAATATGTTAATGATCATGATCTTTAGCAATATAAGACATACTTATAAATAAATGTAATATTTACCCTCTCTATGAAGACAAACCTTGAAGGAGGTCATTCTTACGAAGTAACTTTTAAAATAATTAATGTTTATTTGTACATACTCTAATTCGAACCTGTTATTGATGAGCAATATATCCTCAGCCAATAGTAATGTCTTTAACTTTCTATTTCCAAGTGTTAATCTTCATTTCCTTTAGGCATATGTACATGTTTTTACTTATCTTCAATCCTACACATTGCTAGTAAATTATGATTACATTTTAGGTGTAAAACACCAATTTTAGCCATATGTTCAAATATTGAAAATTTATTTTATTAGAGGTTATTACTGGTAGGTAGAGACAGGACTGAATGGTACAACATGAAACCATATTAACCATAAATGAATTTAATACTATTAATGACTAAGTAGCAGAAGAGCCATTTGGGAGATGGTTAAATATTAAAAGCCACAAAGTGGATTAAATTAAATTAACTACATGAAAATCTACGATCCATATAGCTAACTAGAAAGAACTCCATTCTCATCATTCTTCACATACACTATTCTTAATTAGCTGGGGAGGGAAAAAGTAATGAAAATTGTTGGAAGATTTAAGAGTTTCAGATATTAAGAGTTATCAAACCTAGTTATTCTAATAACAACTGGAATAAGTATTAGATTAGTAGCCTATAAACCTAAACTATAAGAATTAGTACAAACTGATTTATATTCGTAAACTTCATGTAGTAAACCATGATCCAACATTGTGATTTAGAGAGAACGTACTTAGTAGATCACAGTGACCAGAAAGAGTAGACACTAAAACGAGCCCACATAAAATTCATAGTCCTGTAATAATTACAACAAAAGACGTTGTAATGGCGATTGCAAATAACGGTGAGTAGGTGTTCACTCTGCGGAGAGGCTGAAAAAATTGAGTGCTATGAAACTAGTGTTCAATTAATACCACCCATATGTAAAAGACTGTACAGTCAGTGGAAATAAAATTCTAGTCATGAGAGACATTTTTAAAAAGGAGTGAAGACAATTCTCTAGGCTTTCCTATGACTAAATATCATAAGACCAATCCTCTGCTCTAATATTCTATTCATCAAACAGCCTGCTGATATATAATTTAGTCCTCTATTCAGCAGAGAGAACGTGATCCACATAGATAATAGTCATTTCTTATGTTGCCAAATATACTTCCCATTAATGATAAATGACATGGCTTTTGTGCTTTTAAATTTACACTTCTGAAATTTAGTTAATGTCAGTCAGTTCTCCAGTACTTGACAAAATGTTGCTAATCCTGGAACATGCTGACTCCATGAAGATAAAATTATCCCATGAACACTACCCAAAGCAGCAAGTGGACATCTCCCCTTTCAATAATAGATTCATCAGGAAAACAAATTTGAGTTGTAGGAACAATAAGCCAGTAATGCCACTTTTCAACCTAGAAATCATTTCCAAGTTTCCCCTAAGATTCTTTGAATTGATCAAATTCTATTCAATACTTTGGACTGTGTATAATTCAGGGTAAAATGCAAACATTGATGATAATAATAATAACAATAATAACATCAGCTTATATTCCTGAAAATATTTAACTCTTATTTCCACACTTAATGTAGGTTAATGTATCTATAGCTACATGGCTAAATTTTACTGTATCTGCTACCTCATTCCTATATAAGTTTCTAATAGCTAAAATTAAAACATAACTGTGCTTCGAGGTCATACTGTGATAAATGAATGCTGTAAGTATAACCTCATTTTAGCGTATCAATTGAAAATCATCAACAATAGCTATGAAAACACTAATAGATGTCTGTTAAACCATAATGGTATCTTTAAATCCTATGCGTCATATATATCATTCAAGATAATTCAACAAAAGTATGATAAATCTCACTGGAACCTTACTTTGCAATCTCCTTGTTGGGCTCTCTCCATGGAGTTGTCGTCGTGGCATATACGGAGAAGGGTGGGGAAGTGGTAATGAAGAAACATCATGGGTCTGGAGTTTGTACCAATGTGGCTCATCATCTAATAATGCTGTTTCTAATTCAATTAAAATCTACAAAGCCAAGAAACAAAAGAATGTTAAATACCTATAATATAGAAACTCTATTAAATGGTCTCATAACTTTTATAATAATAACAATGCCATTAGATCAAAATATGTTGCAAAGTTGTCCTTATGTTTGACAATAACTAAATAAAAGATAAGTATGCATAACTTCTGGCTGACTTAATAGTTTTAAATATCTAAAATTTTTTATAGACCTTTGACTATTCACTTACTAGAGGTTGTTAAATTTGCATTACATAAAGACACTACAAAAAAGAAAAAAAGAAACAACTATAGCCAATAGCTCTGATAAACATAGAAGCAAAAATTCTCAACAAAATATTAGCAAACCAAATCCAAAAATACATTTAAAAAATCATTCACCACAATCCATGAGATTTTTTTCAAGGATGCAGGGTAGTTCAATATTCACAGATCAATCAACATGATACGTCATATCAATAAGAGAAAGGATAAAAACCATATGATCATTTCAATAGATGCAGAATCCATTCATGATAAAAACCCTCAACAAAGTAGGTCTAGAGGGAACATACCTCAACATAATAAAGGTCATATACGAAAAACCCACAGTTAACATCATACTCAATGGTAAAAAGCGTCGGGCTCTGTGCTGACAGCTCAGAGCCTGAAGCCTGATTCAGATTCTGTGTTTCCGGCTCTCTCTGCCCCTCCCCTGCTCACACTCTGCCTCTCTCTGTCTCAAAAATAAATTTAAAAAACATTTAAAAATAAAAAAAAATTAATTTACAGAGGAAATCAGTCCATGGGAATAAGTGACTATTTCCTTTTAGGGTCTTGTGCAAAGATGACAGTGTTTGTGATTATGTATATGAGAAGTGCTGTGTAATGATAAATCACCATTTAGCTAAGGGAGGTAAGGAAGCACAACAGCTAAGTTATTTCATTCTTCCCAAATTTTCTCTAGTCATTTTCCAAATCACAGACACTGTGTTCCAGAGGTTTACACACACACACACACACACACACACAAACACACACACACACGCACGCACGCACACACACACATTTACTCCTCAGAATAGCCCTGAGTTGCATAGTATTATTGTTGCCGTTTGGCGAAGAGGAAACTGAAGCACAAATAGATTAAATAACTTGCTCAAGGACGCAAGGCTAGGAAGCAGTAGTGTCAGGGATCCTGACCCAAGAAGGCCGGCGCCAGTCTGCTCCTAACAACCACGTTACCCCTCCTCCCAACTGGTTTACCACTCTTCCTTCTCTATGAATATTCAGTTCAACACTTCTTTGGATTGTTGTTTTTCCCATGAGATTCACATTTAACTGACTCAGGCAAACCAACCACACTGAAAAAGGCTAAAAGCATTACTCATTTCTACTATGCTAATAGCTGGAGAACTGCCTCCCACCTTGCCCCTCTCCAATTCGTTCTCTGCATTACAGGTGGAAATGTTTTTCTCAAGTACAAATGCAATCCAGCCAGTCCCTTTAAAATCTATCATCTGCTCCCTCTATCCACAAGATAAAATCCAAACTTCTTAACATGATGTATTGAACTATGTGATCTGGTCAGTGTCAGATTAACCCTCGAGTCTAATTTCTTACCACTGTCCCTTCCAAGACTCCCTCAACTCTCACATCTTGTTATTCCTTCTGCAGGAACTTCACTCTCCTGGTCTGTATACTTAAGAGGTTATAAGTTCCTTGAAGGACATAATATTCCTTATTCACCTTTGAAGCCTCTGTCCCTAGCACTTTACAGATACATTACAGGGCTTAAAAAATAATTCATAGGGGCGCCTGGGTGGCGCAGTCGGTTAAGCGTCCGACTTCAGCCAGGTCACGATCTCGCGGTCCGGGAGTTCGAGCCCCGCGTCAGGCTCTGGGCTGATGGCTCAGAGCCTGGAGCCTGTTTCCGATTCTGTGTCTCCCTCTCTCTCTGCTCCTCCCCCGTTCATGCTCTGTCTCTCTCTGTCCCAAAAATAAATAAACGTTGAAAAAAAAATTAAAAAAAAAATAATTCATAAATGAATGATTGAGCTACTAGATGTAGAGTTGCTTCACTAAACTAAAATGATAAACACGCACTAGAAAGCACAGCAATGCATTTGTGAAACACAAAACAACCTTTTATCATTCAACACTGAGATTTCTACACTAGGAACAAACACCTAAAAATTGTCACAAAGTATTCAGAACCATTTTTTATGTTACCAACATTTTGCCTTGAAGCAGTAGCTAAATTCATTCTGTGAAAGAAACTGTTTACTTCTTCAGATATTAAAAATGTAAGATTTTACTGACAGTCACATAAAGAAAAGTATTCAAGAGGACAGGAACAGTCTAAGCTTCAAAGTAATTCCAGATACCTCTCCTAAGAATTCACTTTCTTCCTCTCGAACTCGAGCTTGATCCCAGAGCGTGATCTCTAGCATCCGTTCCCTAAATTCTCTTCGATGGACTGGGGAATAAATGAATGTTTGGTTCCATTTGGGTTCCAATGTTTTCTTTACTGTTTTAGTTCTTCTCTTGTTTTTATCACTGTAAAAAAAAAAAAAGGAATATATGAACTTATATAAACCTTTAAGTTTTGCCCCAAAAACTATTCATTTAAAATTTCTCAGGAAAGAAGTGAAGTTTTCCATAAATTTATCATACATTATGAATATTGTAATTGTTTAAATTGCTACTAAAACGTGTAAGTATATAATCATATCACTTTATAAAAGCAATATTTCAATAAATCTGAAATCCTTCCACAACAGATAATTAAAAACTTAATCTTTCTCAAAATCTAAATAAAACCAGACTAAAGAATATTAACTCCACGTTTTTTTTACAGATATTGCCCTATTGGAAACCTTTAAAGCAGCAATAAACCAATGACATTACACATACTATTCACTTGAACGACAGAAGTCTAATTGTGATGTTCACAACTTTATATCTGTATAGTTTAGCTGAGCAACTACAATTACATTTTATCAAGTTATTTTCTTACGTAAAGAAAATACGTACTTGCTCATTAAACAGCTATCAGGCCTTTAAAAGCATCGTAAAATTATTTCTGTGCGAGTTAGCCACCACAGTGTGAGCTGGAAATGCAAGCTGGTCATCCCTGATAGATGGAACTTCCAGCTCAGAGGTTTCCATACTTTTTTGACTTCGTATCTCTATCAAGCGAATGTTTTTGACAATGCATCCTATTAGATGTACATACATTTATGAATTACATGCATGTATTACTATACTGTTGTATTAATAATATTGTGTTCATTCACGAACACACGAAAATAGAAATTAAAAATAATTAGGTAAAAAATTAGAAAATTCAAATATTTCTTCCGGAACTCCAATGGATTGTTTTACTCATCCCGTGGGGTGTATCCATTCCTTTCTGAGATCCCTACTGTAGCTTATTAGAAAGGATCATCTAGGAAGAAAATATTAAGCCATCTAGAGAGCTTATTTGAAGTGAGAAGTGTACAATAAACTCCAAGCAGAACCATAGTAGCTGCCACAAATTCTCTCAGCACAACATAGTTCTAAGAGTACTGAGAAATAGGAAGCAGGGGGAAATAAGCAGGGACAGTAAGTCTCTGAATTGGGGAGGCTGTGCTGCTTCTCCTTGGTGAACATAGAGCTTAACATATGACATAGATTGCATTTAACTAATCAAGAGCACATATGTTGCCAGAGCTCATGTGTTTAATGTGGCAGAAAGCCACTTTAAAGCATTGTATCTTTATTCATCTCTAAGGCCTTGTTAGGAAAATAACTTTGGAAACTCATGTAGGGAATTTTAACTCCATTCTATCATATGGAAAAGCGGTATTGCAAATAAAAATAATTAAATGATAGAAATAATAACAAGGACCATGATTTATTACTCCTTCTGTCATCTCCTCTCTTCATTCAAAATTTTAACAAATATTTATAAAGCATCTACTTATATTCCATGCATTGAAGATTGAATTATGAGACCCTGTGAAGAGATAAAGTTCAGGCCAGGAATTAAAAGATTAAGGCCAGGAAGAAAACATTTAGTGGGAGCCTTGCTGTATAATTCAAAAATGGTTTGTAAGGCAGTGTGAAAGGCAATAGAAAAATAAACCTTGACTTCCTCCTAAGAAGTGTAAAAAGTTCTCAGATAAAGAGGACTATTTTAGAAGGGATTCCTACACTGGACAGCATGGAGACTAGACAACCATTGAAGTTCCTCACACACCCACCATATACAATTAACACTTAATAAGGCAATTTAGTGTGTATCAAAGTATCAATCCTTGCAAAGAACCATAAAAAAATTATCTTCAGCAAGTTAAAAAGTAAATTAGGGTTTGTGTTCGTTTGTTTGTTTGTATAACTAAAGCCTTCAAAATAAGATCAGGTTAAAGAAAAATGTTGGGGGTTTCCTGGCTGGCTCAGTTGGTAGAGCATGTGACTCTTGATCTTGAGGTTATCAGTTCGAGCCCCATGTTGGATGTAGAGATAACTTAAAAATACAATTCTTTAAAGCAAACAAACAAAATAAGTTCAGGTTGTATAAGTCAAACACTGAAAAGCTGCTAAGAGTGTTTAAAAACTAAGATCAATACACACGCTATAAAGATTTTATTTTTTAATTTATTTCTTTAAGATTTTTTAAAATGTTTCTATTTATTTTTGAGAGAGAGAGAGAGAGACAGAGCATGAGTCAGGGAGGGCCAGAGAGACAGGGGGGCTCACTGCTGTCTCTCACTGTGCTGACAGCAGTGAGCCCACGCAGGGCCAGAAAGAGGGAGAGAGAGTCACAAGCAGGCTCTGCATTGTCAGCACAGAGCCTGACATAAGGCTCAAAACTCATGAACTGTGAGATCATGGCCTGAGCTGAAATCAAGAGTTGGATGCTTCACTGACTGAGCCATCCAGGTGTTCCCAAGATTTATTTCCAAATAGCAGCCCAATAACAATAAAATAAATCACTGATCTCTACCAGTATCATTAAATTGTTGAGAATGCAAACTATTTTTTTTTTTTAAATAAAATCCAACCTAAAGCCTTTCCTATTTATTTTCATGTTACCAGCACTTTGGGTTTCCATTTACTTTATACCACGAACAGCATGCAAAGACTTGATGTGTTTACTCAAAACGAAAAAAATATATTTTGACTGAAAACCAATGTTACTTCAAGATGTAAAAGAGTGTAAAGCACACTCGGGTATTTTTTAGAGTAGGTCATAACTTAGAAAATAACGTTTTGAATAAATCAACTGACATAGTGGCATTTCAGACGACATCTCTTCTGTGCAGTCTCACTTGCCCCTCCAGGAATTCGTATCAACAAAAAGGCATCAATTATTTTCTATGTTCACTTATTCAAATAGCCTTTCTCCTCGAAAAATTGCCAAGAAAAATGAAATAATTCATACCAAAAGCATAAATAGTCAGTTATTCATGTGTAAAAACTTGTATCAGCAGCAAAAAAAAAGGGAAAAAGATGATAATATAGCTGTTTCTGAGTTAACCAAAGAATTCTCTTCTCTTTAAAGATAAAACCCTGATACAACTCTCTCAATCAATAAAGTAAGCAACAAACTTACTAAACTATTTTTCAAATTTCTGATAATTGACAAGGAAACAGCTGAGAAACAATTTGAGGATGAAATATTTACCTATTTCCCCCATTCTTTGATGCCGAGAAAAAATAAAAACACTACATCTAAAATATAAATGATTGGTGAAGCAGACTTTCCTTTCCTTAGATCTATCTGCTCAGAAAGTAGGGAGGAGAGTATGTAAAATAAAATAAACAAAACAAAAATGGTCAATCAAGAAATAAATTCCGGGGCGCCTGGGTGGCTCAATCAGTTGAGCATCTGACTTCGGCTTAGGTCATGATCTCACAGTTCGTGGGTTCGAGCCCCGCATCAGGCTCTGTGCTGGAGCCTGCTTCAGATTCTGTGTCTCCTTCTCTCTCTGCCCCTCCCCTGCTCATGCTTTCTCTCACTCTGTTTCTCAAAAATAAATAAATGTAAATTTTTTTTTCAATTAACAAAAAAGAAATAAATTCCATAATTTGAAAGTCTTTTAGTATCTTCCGAAGTAAGTGTTTTTTTTCAAAGGTTTGAGTAAGCAGAAACTTAGGTTATGTATATGCATAAAAACATAGATGGGAATACTAGCAATTCTTGTGGGTTTTTATCAGGGCATTCTAAGAATGTTTAGACTAGTAAATCATGCTGCTCTAAGAAGCCAAGTGATTTGGCCTCCAGGATGGCAGGGTAATAGGGCTGTGACATATCGAGTCAACCAACTGAAGTTTAAACTGGATTTAAAAGCTCCAGTTGTGAATATCTTCTTCCCTTGCAGTTCATGGTATATCGCTATCCAAAAGGCAACCTAAGTTGTGAGGAAACAACTTTCTTCATGAAAATTTGGTAAGATCAAATTATATGGCAGTTTTAATAACCTTAGACACAATGGCACCTTGACGGACTTTCTGATGAATCTTCTTCACAAATTTCACTTCAAAATATGTATCAAACAAAATGCAAGGCCTATGTTAATTGTCTACTTCCATATTTTTATCCTTTTCTTGGTTGAGGTCGTTCTTCAGATGATACTTTGGCATTCAAGTTTGATGACTTTCCGCTTGAACTAAGTAAATGAGGGGCCAAAAGTGTGTAAACGTGTTGAAGATCACATGTGTGCCTAGCCACTTCCAACGTGGGAAGAAATGACCAGCCTTTGAGAACACTCTGTCCTGGAGGCCAGGATGCTCAATAGCTGGGGAAATGATAATCGGTGTCATTAATTCTTTCTTTTTACATGACGTCCACTGAATAATCTCTTTTATTTTTTATGTACCTGAAATTAAAAGGGGATTAGATAATTTTTGAAAATCTATTCCTCTAATCCTAAAATCTGTTCAAATTAGGGCAGAACAACATCATTTGTGCTAGTTAGTAAGGACACAAAGCAAATGCTGCTTCAAGAAGTTGATTCCAGGACCAGAGGCATGGCGTGATGATATGGGGTGATGAAATATAAAGCATATTCCCTCATTTTACATTACATAAAAAATAATATCTTAGAATGAGGAGGTAGAAGGTGTAAAGGAACATGATGAGTACCTTTTAGTATCATTTCCAGCTTTTTGCTTCTGTAGACTGTGTTAAAAATGCACTTGGTTTTCAAAAGCATAATAATTGTTAATGATTTTGATAAATGAAAATACGCATCATTTAAGAATCCATATAACCTAAAATAAATCTTCAATGAAATCATCCATAACATTTGACATCAGTTTTAAAACAATCTCAAAGCACTTACTGTCACTATTTTGAAGAATCATGAATCATATGAATATATGAATCATTATGTTTAGGTTAAATTTCATAAATATCTGAGTTGCATGATACATAAAAATAAATGAGACAGAATTGAAACACCCACTGTTATTAACATTTCTTATTTATTTTCAAGAACATTTATTTTTGTTTCATATCCCTACCTTCTGTCTGGAAGAAAGTAAATTTTAACATAAGGATTCCTTGGCCTCCCATCTTCCCTGGAAGGGAGATCCTTTGCTCCCAAAATTGTAACTATTAATTGGTGACCAACCTTGTCAAACCATAGTTTTATCTGAAAAGCAAAAATATTCATTTATCAGCTCAAACTTTTACTACCATAACATAATGCTTACATTCCCAATCTTTCCCCATTCTCTTACACTAATATGAGCACAGAATAAGTTTTACTTCATAAATTGCACTTAGTTAAAATAAAAGGATATGCTATAATAACTTCAATGAACAGAGGCAATAATTCAGATTATTTTGGATGGATTGATAAATCACTTGAGCTTTTTGTTATCCTAATGTGATTGCTTATTAACATGCACATGATAATTACCCTAAGAACTTCACATACAATGACTGTGTTTGCCTTTCTTTATGTAAGAATCATATTTTAGTTCCCCTAAAATAATGAGTTCAGAATAAATGCTCAAATGAACTGAAGAGATACCTCATTTAATTTATATGGCATTCGTAGGGAATTTTTAAGCAAATGTTTTAAAAGACAAAACATTTCATTTGAAAAGACATTTTAAAGATTACAAGCAAGGTAGAATTACCAGTGGCTTTAGTCCATAGACTCCTTGATTTTGTATTTAAAGCCATAATAAATTCATCTTTATAGGTTTTTCTTACACAGACATCGAGTCCCTTTTTCATTAGAGGAGAAGATATATTACATCCTTAGAATAAAAGGGTATTATTTTACCATTCGAGATGAGAAGATGGGAGTAACTTCTCTGACATAATTAGGAATTGGAACTTCACATCCAGCTGCTAAATTCATTTGATTTAACAATTGTCACCTCCCACACACATACCTCACACTCCCACACCTAGCTAGCTAATTCTACCCTGTCAGGATGTATAACTTGGCTCTAATCCACGTTTTGGTTCGGAACTCATCACTGCTCTGGCCATTATCTTGAAATTGAATCCAAAATCTGAAAGTTGGGAATAAAATTATATACTGTTTAATAGTTTAATTTTTCCTTTAATTTTGAAGTTTAATATTTGCAGCAGTTAAAAAAAAAATGTTAATATACATCTCATGTCCGTCATTCCCTCTTCTCCTGAAATGGACAGTCAGGTCTGGACCAGGCTCTGAGATATACAAATAAATATACAACATATATACACATGCATAAAAATCACCTAAATATATATATATATGTATATATGATATATTGGTATTTGGTTCTAATTCTAACATGGCTCTGTTGAGTCTCTCACTTCATATCTCAGAGAACGAGAGGCTGAACGAGACTTTTGAGTCCAAAGAAGAGGACTAATGGCCCAGAAGAGTATATAAAATTATTTATCACGCTCTTCTGTCAAATGGAATTAGCCTTCTTAATAACAGCAAGAAATATTTAATTTTTAAAAAAATAATTAATACCCTTTATGTTATATTAAGCCTTCATATTTAAAATGCAGGTTTTACCATGCTGTCGTGTAACAAAGTTTTCTTAATAGAGCTGCAAAGTACAGTCTCTAGAAAAGTGTTTCTTAAAGGGTGGTTCACTAACCTTACATCTGTGTTATCTGGCTTATTTGTTGAAAAGTTACAAATTCCTGTGGCCCACCCCTCACCTACTGAATCAGGACGGGGCCCAGGTTTTTGTTTGTTTGTTTTTTTGACAAATTTCAACAAGTCCTCCTGGTGATTCTCATGGGCATTAAAGTTTGAGAACCAAACTTTATTAACACCCTAGGGAATTAACACCCTGAAAGAAAAAAAAAAAACCTCTTCAACATGCGAATAGAAAAAAGTACAAATATTTGCTTGTGTAACAACATTAGAACATAGATACGGGTGAGGGTAAGTGGAAAAAAAAAAAAAACCTCTTCAACATGCGAATAGAAAAAAGTACAAATATTTGCTTGTGTAACAACATTAGAACATAGATACGGGTGAGGGTAAGTGGAAAAAAAAAAGAAACCATTGTTCTGGCAAAAGACATGAGGGGAAAACAACAAGAAAAAAAGTAAGAAATACAAGAGTGTCTTTATATGAGATGAAAGAGAGATGTTGTCAGAGTGCATCATGGTTCTTCTAAAATGTGTGACCAAAAACCCCATTAATTTCTGATATTCTCTATTTTCTATAGCAATCAAAAAGCTTATGGCTTTATATTTCCAGGACAATTAAAAACACTTCTCTGAGGATCATGATATGATTATTAGGCACTTCAAAGAAAAAAAGATTCTGAAAGGCTAAAAAAAAAAAAA